AGGCACACAGAGCCCCAAGAGGGGACACAAAATCAGGGTCAGATCCAGCTCAGGCTGTCTAACCTGGAGAAAGGGTGGGCCTGACCTCTACAGATTTCCCTGGAACCTCAGCCTCTGACAGGTGGCCCTTCTTCCCTCTGGACTCTGGGGGCCCAGGCCCACTTGCCTGGAATCTTTCCTACAAGGACAGACCCACCACACTGGCCTCCGGGTTGGGTCACCTGGCCTGGCAGAAGGTAGGCAGGTTCCTATCTGAAGTCTGTCCAACACCAGCCCCCGTCAACACGGGTGCAACATTCACCACCCCTCCAACTGCCAGTAGGCTTCCTCCCAGACGGCTTCCAGGCCATGTGCAAACAGAGGGGATCACACCTGCCCAGTCAGGCAGTGGACAGGCAGAAAGGAGGCCCAGGGCAGGCAGGACCGACACACTTCCCACACTCAGCTGTCTCTCCCTTTCCGGAATGTAATAACATGATGCTAGACACTCCTGCCTGGCTATTCACGCCTCTGCTCCCAGACACCAGCCTCTCCCCACCAGTACTCTGGTGCTGGGAGGACACCTCACCTTTCCCATCAATCCACACAAGCTACTGCTCCACAGGCTCCAGGTCTCAGCAGCCCTGGGGTGCTGAGGTGGTGGGCCACCTCTGCCCACCAGTGCTCCGTGCCCAGCTCCAGGAGACACTCTAACCCAACATGCTCTCCCTGCTCAGTTAATACCAGCAAGGGCCCCATCCCAAGGCCATGGGATCGCACCCATAAAAACGCAGGGCGGAGAAGCCAGGACAGCAGGAATCCGGGGAGAAGGGTCACTGCGGAGAAAGGGTGGGAATCTGCGAGGAGCCTGAGGTCAGGGGTCACCCAGAGAGTGAGGGCTATAGTCACGGAGCTGGAGAGTCACAAGAAGAGAGGAGTCAAGGAATGACCGGGGAGAAGCCAGAAGGAGGTCACCAAGTGCAGGAGAGCCACAGAGAAGCACGGGGTCAAGGGTCACCAAAGTAAAGTCCGGGTATCACCAGGGAGCGCCAGATAGCGGGGGATCAGGGAATCAGCGAGGAAAGAGAGAGGAAAGGGTTGGGAGTCGCCCTGTTTCAGGGTTCATGCCAAGGCGGGTGTCAGGCGGGGGTGACGGAGCGGCGCAAGGTCTGGGGTCGCCAAGGAGGACCGAGTTATAGTTGACGGCGAAGGACGGGATCGGGAGGGTCGCGGTGGAGGGCGGGATCAGGGGGTCGCCCATGAGGGCGGGGACACGCCGCCGTGCTCCCCCCGCCCGCGGCCCCGGAACCCCAGAATTCCGTAACCCCTAGCTCGGGGCGCGGGCGGCCGCGGGGTGCCATGGCCTGCGCGGGCCGGGTAGAGCGGCTTGGCCGGGCAGGGGTGGCGGGAGCGGGCCGGGGTAGGACCGGGCGAGCCTCACCTCGGACCCGGGTCCGGCCGGGCGCGGAGCCCACGGCGCCTCCGTTTCTCTGAGCTTCCCCGCGGCCGCGCTTACTTCCGGGTTTCGGGCGCCATCTTGGGGGGGCTCGCGCACTTCCGGTCATGCCGTGGGGGCGGGACCTCTGGTGGGCGGGGTTTGGGCGCGGGGCCTTCTCTCGGTGTGACCCCCCTCTCCCAGCCCCTTGAGGCCCTTCTGCCTTTGGAAGGGGCTCGAATTCTCGAGTGAGCCTCCGTTTCCTCCTCTGCAGCTTGTGGAACCATGCCTACCTGCAGATCTTTGCATGACTCTGCCCTCCCCTGGTGCACTCTGACCCTGACCTTTCAGCCACTGGGGTTCTCGGACACCCCAGACCTTGGCCTCGCAACCATCTGAAAGGGCCCTGGGTCCTCCTATCATGCTCCCTCTCTTGGTTGCTCCCTACTAATAGTAGTCTGCTCATTAACCTATCTCCGCTCTACAATAGGAGTCCTGGGGCCACCTGCCCCCGGACAGGGAGCCAGGCACACGGGGTCTGATAAGCCCCAGAGGCCATCCTGAGAAAAGCAGGATCCTTTCAGGCAGGGGCCTTGAGACCTGAGTGGCTCCCCTGCTGTCTCCTTCCCCATCAGGGCTTACAGGGGCCTCATGCAAACAGCGCTGGGATCTGCCTCATTGTCAAGCACAGGATGGGACTCAGCTGCGGCACAGGCCTGCTGTGTTCCTGTGACTAGGGCCTACTGGACCCACCAGGGGCTGGGCCTGGCAAGTCAGACAGAGCCAGTGCAGGAGGCACCACCCCCTCCCCATCAGGGAATGAAGACGCTGCCACCTTTTCCTGGACCCACCTCACCAACCAGCCAGAGGCCTCCTGTACCTGGTTCAACCCCTTGAATTTAGAGGCCACCTCTTCACTTGCTTGTCTATTCAGTGAAGTGTTATGGATGCTGCTATGTGCCTGGCCTTGAGCTGGACAAGTCTGGGGCCCCCAGAGAGGACTCAGTTCTCATCCTTGCCCTCAGGAAGCCCCCAGTCTAGGGGAAACAGAGCTGGGACCAGACACTCCCATCTGCAAAATCAGGCATAGGGCTCAGTGAGGAACAAAGTCTCTGCCTAGGGCATCATGGAGGGCGGTGTTGAGAGGGTGTTGAGGCTGGGGCTTTGAAGTTCAAGTAGGAGTTTGCCAGACAGATAAACTTAGAAAGAGCAAATTAAAAGCTGTTCAAAGGCCAGATCTGGTAAGGAAGATGAGTATGTTTAAAAAATCTGTTTCCCTTGGGACATCCCTGGCAGTCCAGTGGTTAAGATTCCTTGCATCCACTGGAGGGGGCGTGGGTTCAATCTCTGGTTGGGAAACTAAGATCCCACATGCCATGGGGTGTGGCCAAAAAAAGAAAAAAAAATCTGTTTGCCCTAAAAATTCAGGACCTCCTGTACCCAAACCCACAGGCACAAGAGAGCAGATGGGGAAACTGGGACCCAGAGAGAAGTAATATCCAGATGGAGCTCCACTTTGGCATGCGTTATTTTTGGCAATTGAGTTGTAACCATGACCCTGGAACTATTCTTTATAGCTAATGAGAAGAAATCCAATTGAGCAACAGACTTAAGCTTCAAAAGGGTGAATAAATTGATTCGCGGAGCATCTGGTGGCATGTTTCAGTTTCTGCTCACACAGGACCATCAAACAATTTGCAGGGCCCAGTGACATGTGAAAACGCAGGGCCCCTTGTTCAAAAAATAGCAAGAACTTCAAGACGGGACCGTTAAACTGAGCACAGCCCCCCAAGCTCACAGCGAAGTCCTAAGTTACACACCCATGAAGCTGGCCCTGCCCCCACTGCAGCCCTCTGGGGTCTGACTGATAGTACCTGCTTTTTGCCGGTGGGGAAACTGAGGCGCAGAACTGTTCCACAGATGGCTCAGGTCACAGAGGGAGCCGCTGGGAGGCGTGGACTCGATCTCGATCTCGATCGTCCACCTCAGAAAAGCACGAGATCTCTACGGGTAATTCTGCCTGAAATGGGGGCAGTTTGCCCAGGCCGGGGTGGGTCCAGCCATCTCAGCATGGAGGAAACTGCCAAGTCTGGGGATGTCTAGGGAATTAGTCAGATTTGGGGATTTCCAGGGAATCACGAGAGGCAGCTTGGGAGACCAGAATGGATGCTACTCTGGAGCTCAGAACCTGGCCCAAGGTGCTGTGTGACCCCCAGAAAGTGACTTAACGTCTCTGTGCCTCCATTTCCCACAGATAATAGTGGCTATTATTTTTTCAGATAGCTAAATGAACAGTGCCTAGCATTAAGACGTTATGAATGTTTCCAGGTGAACATCTGGATCATGGGGTCACCTAAGTGACTCCATTCAATTGTCAGAAGTGATCAAGGCTTTTCATCTGGTGGGGACAGGCTCACAGAAGACCCCAGGTCTGCTGGTGGAGTTCTGTTTAAGGTCAAAGAACCTCCTCTTCAACCCCTCCCTCTGCCCCTGCCCCATGGAGGGGCACCTGACCGTCCCCCAGACACTTTGACCAGGCTCAAGGAAGTAGGGTCGCCATCTAAAATGCAGCACACAAAGTTAAGTGTGAATTTCAGGTACAGGAAGAATAATTTTTCGTGCCAGTATAGCCCAGGCAACGTTTGGGCTATATTTATACCAAAGAACTAGCCTCGGTGTATCTGGAATTCACATCTAACTGGGATGGAAGTCCTGTGTTTTTATTGGTGAAATTCAAGCACTCTATGTGGGAAGTGCCACGGACAGAAATGGGACCCAAGGAGAAGCCCTGGTGAGCGGCTCCCTCTCGCGGAGCCTCGGCGTTCCCGCCTGCTAAATGGGCGAGCTGTTAGCACGAAACAGAGGCGAGTTCCCCATGTGGATCATTATTTCAAAAGAGCAGAAAACTTCACACGGATGGAGGTCAGATCCCTGGGGGCTTCCCTTTGAGCCAGGTGATTCTCGGCCTAAGTCAGGAGTCCCCGACCAGCCTCGGTTTCCCCCGGGGGTAGGACCCCAGGGCTAGGCCCGCCCCGGGAGGAGGAGCCGGGTGATGGGCAGGTAAGGCGGGGCAGGTGGACCCGGCCCGGGGGCAGGGGCAGGGACTCGCCACTTCCTGTTTCTCCACATTCTGGAAAGCCCCGGCGTTCCCGGACCGCGCAGCGCCTCCTCCCTCCCCGCGCCTCCGGGCCCGGGTCCCTCACCACTTCTCCTTTCCGCACCCGCTTCCCCCCAGCCCAGTGGTCGGTTCCCGGCTCTCTCTCCCCTTCTCTCCCCGCCTCCCCTCCTTTTCCCATCTCTTCTCCGGCTCTCCTCTTTTCTGTCCTCCTGGAGCCCCAATCGGCGCCTCCAGGGTGAAGAACAGAAAACCGAGGCAGCAAGGTCCCACGAGCCAAGTCTGTGTCCCCCGGCCTCCGGTCACTTTCCGTCTTTCCTCCCCCCGCCCCCCCACCACAGTGTCTCTCTCTCGATCGCCGTCCCCTTGTCCCTCGCTTCGTCCCAACCTCTGTCCCCGGCTCCACCAGTCCTCCCGCACACACGGAGCCGACTCCGCCCTGTCCAGCCACCACGCCCCCTCTGTGCCCACCTGACACTTGCCCCGAGGCGTCCTCAGGCGCTGGCACTGGCTGGCGGTTTCCAGGGCCTTACAGCTCCCTCCCGGCGTGTCTGACCCGGAGCTGGATCCTGCCAGGCTCGGCTAGGCTGCCTCTGAGCCGGGGCCACTTCTGGGAACAGCAAACCTGTCCAACAGGTTTGAGATCCGCCCCAGACAGGGTTTCCCGCCTCTCCGCTGGGCCGGGGACACCAGGGCTGCAGGGGTTAAATGTGACACCTGACTAGTACCCCCCAACCCCAGGCTGGGTCCTGGCTGGGCCCTGAGGTTGGGGAGCAGGTGGGAGGGGAAGAAAGATCAGCAATTCACCCACCAAGCCCACAGGGGAAGAAGTGTAGGGGGGGGGCTGGCATGTGCCAAGGCCCCGAGGAACACCTATGGGGGGCTCAGGCAGTGAGGCTGGGAAGAGGGCGGAGGAATTGTTACCCTCCCCCGGCCCCCAACCAACATAAAGCTAGGGCGAGGCTTTTATCCTGGAGCACTAGGGAGCCACTGAAGGTTCTGAAGCAATGGTGTGGTATGGTCAGGGTGGGGCTGGAGGTCACCTGATCTGCCACATATGCTGGAGAGGGGGCCACATCTGCAAATCTCATCTGGTGGAAAGACAGAGGCTGGAGGAAGTGGAGCTGTTGCCCCAAAGCCAAAGAGCCAAAGTTTGTATTTCTTCCTTATTTATTTCTTTTTGGCTGCATCAAGTCTTATTTGCAGTGCATAGGCTTAACTGAGACATGTGGAATCCTAGTTCCCCAACCAGGGATCTAACCCGCTTCCCCTCCATTGGAAGGTGGATTCTTAACTGCTGGAACCCCAGGGAAGTCCCTCTGAATTTCTTTCTATCCAGCGCCAGTAGTGATCCAGCCAAGGCAGGGGGCGGTTGGTGAGGGGAGCAGGGGTAGGTGTAGGCTGGGGGTTGGTGGGGGGTTACCCAGAGGAGGGTAGGAGGGCTGTGGTGGGGGTAGGAGGTGGACCTCAGCTTTGGTGACATACCACGCGTTCATCCACTAAATGTTTATCATCCCGGGCCAGGCATGAGGGATGGAGCAGAGCACCCGACACATGCGTTATGCTCCTGGGTCACAAGGAGATGAACCCACTGCCCCTGTGGCACAGGACAGGTCCCTGCAACACAAGTGCCAGAGGAAGATCCAGGCAGGTGGACCAGGCCCTGCCTTGCCCTGGCCTGACCTCCCCGCTGTAAACCACAGCCAGCTCTGAGTACTGATGTCACCTGTGCTGGGACTTCCTGAACCTTCACCTTGGATCTGCCCGGACCCATGGGGAAATTCCAAGCCAGGCGGGGACCAGCTGACTCATGTCCAGGCTTCAGTGGCATGCAAGTGGCCACACTTCTGAGGGGCATCGGGGGCATTTGGATCACTCTGTGGAATCCGCCCCCAGGCTTAGGGAGAAGCCAGACTCCCCAGCCTCAGGTCAGGAGTCCCCATCAGAGCCTGCTAGGTGAGGCCAGGAAACTGGGTTCCAAAGGGTGAGAATTTGGGGCTGTCAGAGCTTCTCTGGAAGTGGGGTACTGAGCTGGTCATTTGATATCCCCAGGGCTGTACAAATGACCAGCCAAGAAGATGGAGCTCCAGCAGCAGAGCATGAGGTTACTACCTCCTGGATTCCAATCCCAGCTCTGCTAGTGGCTCTGGGACCCCAGGCAGGTTACTTAACCTCCACGTGCCTCAGTTTCTCCACCTGTAAAATGGAGAAAAATCACTACCTCCTTTGGAGGGTTTTTGTGAGAATTTGGTGAGTATCACTGTGAGCTTGGGGACGTTATGGTAAAAGTGTTTTAAAAAAACAAACTCATCGCAGCACAATTCATAACAGAAGTGGAAACAACCCCATGTACTTCAGTTAATGTAGTCATGTACAGATGTGAGAGTTGAACCATAAAGAAGGCTGAGCACCAAAGAATTGATGCTTTTGAACTCTGTTGCTGGAGAAGACTCCCAAGAGTCCCTTGGACTGCAGAGATCAAACCAGTCAACCTAAAGAAAGTCAACCTTGGAAATTCATTGGAAGGACTGATGCTGAAGCTGAAGCTCCAATACTTTGGCCACCTGATGCGAAGAGCCGACTCGTTGGAAAAGACCCTGATGTTAGGAAAGATTGAGGGCAGGAAGAGAAACGGACAACAGAGAATGAGATTGTTGGATGGCATCACCGACTCAATGGACATGAATTTGAGCAAACTCCAGGAGATGGTGAAGGACAGGGAAGCCTGGTATGCTGCAGTCCATGGGGTCACAGAGTTGGACATGACTGAACAAGAATAACATCAACTTCAGTTAATGGGTGGACACACACACCGGTCCCTCCACACACAGGAACATCATTCATCATGAAAAGGATGAAGCCCTGACACTCGCTACCATGTGGGTGGACTCCAAGAACATGATGCTCAGTGAAAGAAGCAGACAGACAGACACATGATGGGATTCCACTGATGGGAAGCGTCCAGATCAGGAAGATCCACAGACACAGAGAGTGGGTTCCTGGTTGTCAGGGGCTAGGGAGGGGGTGAAAATGACTGGTTATTTGGGATTCAGTGTTTTAAAGGGGTGATGACAATGTTTTGAAATTAGAGGTGGTGGTTGTACAGGGTGAATGTACTAAACGCCACTGTACTGTACATTTTAAAATGGTCCATTGTGGACTTCCCTAGTGATTAAAAGTCCACTTGCCGATCAGGGGACACAGGTTCAATATCCCTGGTCAGGGAAGATCCCATAAGCTAAGGAACAAATAAGCCCATGTGCCACAACTATTGATGTGCAAGCGCCCTACCTGTGCTCATGAACAAGAGAAGCCCCCATACCCTAACTAGAGAGTAGCCCAACTCACCACAACTAGAGAAAGTCTGGGCACAGAGCAGCCAAAATAAATAAGCAATAATAATAAAACAGTTAATTGTATGTCATGTGAATTTCACCAAACTAACAAAAAAGAAAGCAAAAGGCAGTTGGCCCTGTAATCAAAGGGGTGACAGATGTCACAATCAAGTCATCATGAAATCCTAAAGTTGCATTCGGATCCCAGGAAGGCCTCCAAAAGCAACAGGTTTCAAACACACTGGAGAAATTCCATGACCACTGACTGTGATCTTCGGTGTGGACAGTGGGGACCCTTGATGTAATGGGCTGGGATAACTCCTCACCCTGTGGTCTTCCTCCCCAAGCCCATCACCCTGATCTAACCCTGAGAACACCACCATGTGTGCTAAGTTGCTTCTGTTGTGTCTGACTCTGTACAACTCTATGGATTGTAGCCCATCAGGTTCCTCTGTCCATGAGATTCTTCAGGCAAGAATACTGAAGTGGGTTGCCATGCCCTGCTTCAGGGGATCTTCCCGACCCAGGGATTGAACCCACATCTCTTAACATCTACTTGCATTGGCAGGTGGGCTCTTTACCACTAGCGCTGGCTGTGAAGGTCTGAGAACAACACTGGAAAGACTCAATCAAGGGACTATCTACGCGATTTCCCACCAGTCTCCCTTCAAAGCTGTCCAGTCATCAAAAACAAGGAAAATCTGGACTTCCCTGGTGGTCCAGTGGTTAAGACTCCATGCTTCTAACGAGGGGGCACAGGTTTGACATCTGCTCAGGGGAACAAAGGTCCCAAATACCCTGCAATGCAGCCATAATAAATAAATAATAAAATAAGTAAAAACAAGGGAAGTCTGAAAAATTGTCACAACCCCGAGTTGTAATGACTAAATGTCATGTGGGAATCCTGATGGGGTGTCTTGGGGCAGGAAAAGGACCTTAGGGAAAAACTAAAGAAATATTTTTTTGAAGTGAGGAATTTAGTTGATCACAATATATTAATGACGTGTCCTACACTCATGGAAGATGTTAACGTCCAGACAAAGTGGCTGCCAGAAGACAGGAGCTCCCTGTACCATGCTTGCAACTTTAGATTTCTAAACCTATTAAAAATTATCAAAGTATAAGACCTGATCCATCCTCCCACCCCACCCCATGGGATGAAGCCCATGTCCATCCCTAGGCTGGACACCTGCAGCTTCCATTGCCAAAACCCCCTGCATGAGTCTTCCCTCCAAGTTTGGTTAGAATATTTTGGTTGCAAGTGATAGAAACCGCAACTGAAACGGGCAGGTTTTTTTTTTTTTTTTTCTTTTAAATGGGAATTTTGGGCTTGTGGAACTGAAAGGTTCAGGGATAGATTTAACTCAGAGTTCTCCCCCTTAGCACAGCTGACATTTGGGACTAGATGGTTCTTTGTGTTTTACAGCTGTCCTGGGCACTGTGGGGTATGGACAGCATCCCTGCTCCCTACCCACCCAATGCCAGAAGCCCCACAGTTTTTTTGGTTTTTTTTTTTTGACTGCACGATATGTAGGATTTTAGTTCCCTGACCAGGATCAAACCCATGACCTCTGCAGTGAAAGCTCACGGTCTTTTTTTTTTTAAAGCTCACGGTCTTAACCACTGGACCACCAGGGAAGTCCCCCCCACAGTCTTGACAACCACAGATGCCCCAGTATCCCCTGGGGGCAGGACTCCCTCTGATCCAGCTGGTATCAGACTCAGCTGGATCCAGAACCCTCAAACAGTGTCACAGCGATTTGTCCACCTCTCCATCTCTCAATTCTGCCATCTTTGCTCTTGGCTTTTTTCCTCAAGTCTCCCCAGCTTGGGACAAAGATGGTACCAGCAACCGTTGACTAAATCCCCACATGAGCTTAACAGCCCCAGCAAAAGGTCAGCACCTCTTCTGCAAGAGAAGCAGCAAAAGTCCCACGGAAGGTTTTGATTGGCCCAACTTTAGCCACATGACCTTGTTGAATCAATCTCTGTGGCCAGGTAAGGGAAAGCCCTCATTGGCCAAACTGGGATCACATGATTGTATGGAGCCAGTCAATGGGGTTAGAACCCCATGATGTCAGCCAATGGGGTGAGTACACTGTGGACTGGATTGGAAGCAGGGGGAGTAGCCCTGGGCAGTAGAGTCTCCTGCTGGGCAAGGTTGGCCTGTCATCCCACTGTGGGCTTTAGCAGGGCAGCATTAATAAATGAGTGA